GGGGGGGGCGCACTTTGCCCGAGATGAAGGACAACCTCAAACTGCAGCTCGAGAAGCTCGAGAAGGTGAGATGGACTTGTCGGTTGGTCGGTTCCGGGAAAATCTCTACCTCAAGAAACGATCGTGATAGCAGAGGGCGCTTTGGGATGTGCCATACCGTACTGTAAGAGGCGGAGAGATGGCAGCCCCCGAGATTGTTGATCACAGTGTTTCTGCCCGATAGGAGCGCTCGAATCCGTGGTCACACGAAACAGTATAGACAGCTCGAAAACAGCGCAAAGCAAACGGGCAGAGTCGCAAGGTGCGTGGTTGAGCAAGAAGCATGCGGTTCGCGAAAAGCTATGTAGCGACACGCGCCCCGCACACATGAAGCTGAGCGAGTGCTGCGCCGTTGATTGGCAAGAACATGTTGCAACTGTTCCTCTTCTCTGTCGCGCGTAGATGGGAAGGTTGCACTTTGCAATTGCCTACCCCCGGGAACGATTGGCCATTGGTGACCGGTCCTGTGGGGAATTATGCTCCGTCCCTTCCTCGAGGACCTCGTCAATGTGGACGCGTGGTCAATGGTCTAACAAGTACGGCATGCAACACATGATCACGCCCGCCCCGTCAAGGGTCTAACAACTACGACATGCACAACGTCACCGGACTTCTCGGGGTCGAGAACCCTCGCTCCGCGCAAGGGGGATGATCGCACCACGTTGTGTTAAAATGGTCAAGCACCCTCGAGGCAGTTACACAGTGCTTACAACTGTCTCTGGAAGTGAAAGCACCAGAANCCCCCCCCCCCCCCACCCCGCTCTCTCGTTTTCGCGTGCGCTCCCCCCGGACGAAATCCTGCGTGCAAACAAAAGGACAATGCCGCCAGTCCCGGTGGCCGGCGCAACAAGGGGATCTTCGCCGGGCTGCTAGGCGTCGACGGAGCCCCCTCCGGGGGGCCACAACGGAGAGGAGGAGGGGGGGGTAGCGACAGAGCTGGTGCTGATGACGGAGGCGGGTTTGTTGTGATGATTGGAGAGCACGGAGGGAAGGCGTCCAGGTGAGGCCTCGTTTACCGTGAAATCTATTGTATGGTTCCATGGCATGTACCATGGTATGTGCCGTATGTTGTGTTTGCCGCAATAAGCTTTTCGCTCCAAACGCACGGCGTGAAAACGAAGAACATGGTATGTGCCATGATATGTGCCGTGTTGTGTTTGCCGAAAACGCGCGGTTTGGCCCAAAGGCACCGCGTTGAAGAAAAGAAAAGGCCCAGTGAGGACGCGGGCCGCGGCTGGGCTTGTGCTCGGTGCGTTCTACGCGGTCCTTGTGTGCCCGCGATCCATGGCCTTCGTTCTACCTTGTCGCTATCGGTCGCGTACGCGTTGGCCGCACGGAAGAAAGTAAAAGGGAGAGAAACTGGTGCGAAAGACAAGGGGTTTTGCCGGGTACTGGCAGGCGCAGTAGTTCACGCTTCGCCCCTCCCCCGAGAACCCGGCATATCGCTCCATCTTGGCATTGTAGGGATGCGAGGTCGATGGTCGAACAACTACGGCATGCGTTTACATGAGGACAACCCCCCCCCCCC